CCAGTTTAAGCAAATTTTCTTAATCTTCATAAAGATCTTGTATATCTCTGGATGTACTTCAAGAACCCAATGTTTACCTTCTTTGACATTAATTGGAAAGCGGACTGTTATTTGGTCTGCTTTTAGTCTTTCATTTTGTGCAATCATACTTTGTACTAAGTCCTGTTTTGAGATATTTTTGGAATGTTATATACCACAATTCGTGGATGTCGTATCTCTATTTTCTGTTTTAAAGATTCGTTATTCTGAATCTCGGTCTCTAGTAATTTGAGCTCATCTTCTTTATTCGTTTCTATCAACAAACCACCATTTCTAATGGTTCGCATTCTTTTGATTCCTACTCTTAGTTGAGCAGGATTAACAGATCTTAAAATTTGCCTCTTTGTGTGTTCGGAGTCTGCCCTCAGTAGGGTATAGAGCGACATGTTGTTTGGAAACCTTTTTAGGTTTCGGCTTCGCTTTTATTTGTGGTGTAGGAGCTGATTGCTGCACCACTTCTGCATATGTTTTTGGCAATATGTCTTTGCCTATTTTTAGTTGTTCCAATTTTCCTTCTATTTTACTATAGTCTAAGCACTGATCAATAACTAAGGTCATCAGTAGTTCGAATCTCTTGTTGTACGGATTTGGATATATTATTGGTCTTGTCTTTCAACAAGTCCTCAAGACCATTTTGAATAATTTGGGTTTCTCTGACATAATCTGTAGCATTCATGCTACAATCTATATGAGCAGAGCTTGGAGAGGCCATTTGTTCGGCAGGGTATTGTCTTCCCAGTACCGTGGGGTTCACACTGGGATGACAGTAGCAGGCAAATCTACTCAGGTATTGGACTCTTAGAGGCAGCCCCCCGACCTTGCCAAGGTACCCGAGTAATGAGAAAGCTTTTGAAAATTCACACATGTAATCTAGTAAAGATCAAATCACATTTCAATCCATAAACGCTTGTAATCACATAACATCGCATTTCAAATCGCTTTCCCACGGGGGGGTCTACTATTTACAACACTCAGACCAGTACCTAATTCGTCTGTCTGCACGATATGGATTTTGACGCAGGGACCACATAGTTTCAGTGGCCCCTTGATTGCTCCGAGTTGAATTGGCCTAGTACTGGATACTTATAAATAATATTATGGCACCCTTGTGGTTTTATTTATTGGTATTAACACATTCGCAGCATGGCGCTACCTCCCATGCCGGTGACGCTCTGGGGCGACAATCAAGTATGATAAGTAAACTGCTTTAGTTTTAGTTCGGATTTGGAGGTTGAACGATGAGGTTTTTGTGGCACGTTAGTGAAGCATTATTTTTATATTTTCAGTGCGTGGTTTTTAAATTTTGTGTTTAAATTTTTTTTTTTTGTGCATTTTTAAAAATGGCGGACAGTACAAGTATTGCAGGACCTTCACAGCCTAAGAAAAGGAAAGTAAGTAAAAAACTGACTGATGCCGAAATATTAGAATTACTAGAAAAGAGTGATCTTTCTGATTATGACAGCGTAGACGATGAAGATTACGGTTGGGATTCTACGAGCGAATCGGAAGGAGATAATGATGTCGCTGTGGATAACTTAGAAATGTCGGATTCTGACACAGAAGATCAACAATTACCGGTAATCTGACAGGTTGACTGGAAAACAGATTCAAGTTGCATGGTAAGTCATACATTTACAAAATCTGAGTCCTTGCTAATACAGCCAACTGAAAGTACTCCTATCGGATATTTTCGCCTTTTCCTCACTGAAGTATTTCTGGAAAAAATAGTCGAAGAAACAAATCGTTACGCATTAGAAATAGAAAATAGCGATAAAACGAAAGAAAAGTCACGAATAACGCTTTGGAAAGATTTAAAAGTGGATGAATTTTAGTTTTTTTGGGAGCATTCTTGCAAATGGGGACAGTAAGAATGAATAGACTTCAGGACTACTGGAAGAAGGACCCATTATTTCATAATGCAGGCATTGCAAATAGCATTAGCCGAAATCTGTTTTTATTAATTTTACGTGCATTACATTTTGCAAAAAATAGTGAACCTGGAGAACCTCAACCTACAGACAGGTTATATAAAAATACGCCCTGTTATCGATTTTTTTAACGAAAGAATGTGCGAGATATATTATCCTAATAGAGAACTTTCTTTGGATGAATCTATGATTCTCTGGTGAGGTAGATTATTGTTTCGCCAATACATAAAGAATAAAAGACATAAGTATGGTATAAAACTTTATATTTTGAGCACATCAAGTGGAATAGTGCAAAAGATTGCCGTGTATACTGGTTTATTAGATGACTATGGAGGGCAAAACCATACACAAAAAATTGTTTTGCATTTACTGAATGAAAAATTAAATGTCGGTCACCATGTTTTCATGGACAATTATTATAATAGCTTTGACTTGGCCAAGTTACTGTTAGATAAAAAGACACGCTGCACAGGCACATTGAGAACCACTCGAAAAAACACTCCAAAGAATGTTCAAACTACTAAATTGCGAAAAGGCGATACTATTGAAAGGTATTGTCAGGGAGTAATGATCGGAAAATGGAAAGATAAGCGTGAAGTGTCTTATATTTCTACGGAATACAAAAATGAAATGGTTGTCATTTTAAATAAACGAAATGAAATAAAGCAGAAGCCTCTGCCAATCATCAAATATAATGCGTTTATGTCTGGTGTAGATCGGCAAGATCAAATGCTGTCATATTATCTCTCAGAGAGAAAATCACTACGCTGGTATAAAAAATTGTTCTTTCATACTATTGAAGTAATGCTAATGAATTCACATGCTCTTTATAATAAATATTCCGGAAAAAAAATATCACTTTACGAGTACCGACTGAACGTTGTAAAATCACTTTTGCCATCAACAGACGAACAAAAGCCGACTCCCAAGAATCTCAAACATACTCTTCAGAAAAGAGAACTTGCACCTGGTAAAACCAAAATACAAAGAAAAAGGTGTACATCTTGTTCCTCTCAAGGCAAACGCACGGACACTACGTACGAGTGCCGTGACTGTCCCGACAAGCCAGGATATTGCTTGAATTGCTGTGAAATATACCATAAGTGATAATATATTTATGCAGTACTGTTCTACACTGACATTTTGTTTGTAATAAGTTTAATTTTTTTTCATTTTCTATTATGTTATTTATGTATATTATACAATATTTGTTACATTTTATAATCTTACATTTACATTTATACATATTTATGTTTTATTGTTACATTTTATAATTTTTCATAAATTTCACTTCTCTTTATCCAATTAAACGTTTTATTTCTTTTAAACTGTGACTTTATATAATGTGTCAATAATTTTGCAGAAAAATGATGAGACACGCCAGAGCGTCAGTGGCATACAGATAATAAGTTGAACGTGAGGTGCCACTGACGCTCTAGAGCGTCCGAAATTTTTTTACACTAAACACGAAAATAAAAGGTTTTTCTTTTTTTCTGGCTTTACTATTAAAATATTAGGAACGTTTTTAATCATTAAAACACTTTTTTTTAATTCGGCTTCTGAGGATGGATATATAAATTTTGGTGGCAGCGAATGTGTTAATTTAGGAAAGTAAAATTTTTAGTTTGTCCAAGAGAATCTCTCCCATGCATATTCATTTTTATTAGAGGTAAATAATAGAACAACATCTGTACACTTCTAGCATTTTTGGGAGGTAATTAAAAATACAATGTACTAGATATGTTGTTTTTCATTTTATTTACAGTTAGCAGTTTATATGGTAGTTTTGCATTTAGTCAGTTGATTGGAATTACAACCAACTATGTTTACTTGATTCATATTTCTATGTCAAATAATGGTGAAGTCTGCTCCCTTAATAATCACAAAATTACTTTTAAATGTTCAAGTACCAAGGAAAAAGTCATCTGTCTTCAAACTAAGAATCATGGGACTGTTAGGCAAGTTTAAATTTAAAGCTATGAAAACTAAAAGAGAGGTTTAAACTAAAAATGATTAATTGTAGAAAAAAAGACATAGCAAACTAACTGAAGAGTCAATTCCCAGATCTTTTAACGTTAACAATAAATCTCATTGCCAATGTAGGGATAAAGTTCTTGAATAACACATTGAACATTTTTGCAATTCTTACTATATTACAAACTTTTATTATAAAGAAATTATACTATGTAATAATAATTATGATGATAATTTTCTGATACTGTATATTATTTAAAATATCATGCCATTTCAAACTTTTCCATTAATGTAATTTTTAAATCAGAACTGTAAATAGTGATGCATTTGCATCAGATAAAGAAAAGAAATCATACCTTCAGTTTAAAATGAAAAGCTAGGAATGATTTAAAGACACTGAGTACAAAGGTAAACATAATGTATCATACATTTAATGAAGTTGTGATTATAAAGGAAAAGTTGTTCATGAAAATTCAAATATATTTTTAAACAGATAAATTATAAGGAAGTGGAATGACTTATCAGTCTATTGCATATAAACTTCAGGACATACAACATAACTTTTACAGGTCTTGGGGGAGGGATCCTTTAATTATTTGTTTTCTTGTAGTAATCAGTTTAATGTGGTGGGTTGGAACTAAACTTAAAATATACAGAGGTATGCCTACGTTTAATTATTTTAGACTATTTTATTTAGCTTTTAGAATCCCACTGTTTAGTTTTATTTTAGATTTCAAACTTTTTCCACAAATATGGACTTCCTGCCATCCCTCCCTTTAAAATTTCTCTCTCTCTTTCTTTGTTAATGTATGCTAATGCATGAGAAAGAGAGAAAGGCAGAATATGCACAAACTTCTCTTAGTGTTAATTTAGAAGTCAAATAACAAAAAGGTCTCTTCGTCTCAACAAAAGTCTCTTAGTGCATACATTTAAAAAGTTTATCCAGCAGTATAGTGTATTTAGTTTTTAAATAAGTGCATTAAAATGCTATTCATAAAATGTGTAATGTAATTTGTATTAAGGTTAGTTTTTTGTTTTTAAATTTTTTTTTTTTTTTAGGATCCTACTAAAGAAAGCAAACTCAGAGTGTCTGGTTTAGTAGAAGCTATTCATGGTCACAGTGACAAAAGGGCTGATATTTATGCGAAGTTTGATGAAGCTTTGAATAAGTTTAAACACAACAAAGATCTTATCCACTATCAAGCAACAGTGAAAAAATTAAATGCAGAACACAAGAATGAAACTCAAGCAATTGCAGATCTTCTTTTAAAGCTGAAGCATGAAGGATCGGATGTTGCAGAAAAGGTATGATTAAAATATTAGCTCAGTTAAAGGATAAAGAGTCTATATTATTAGTTCAGAAGGGCTATTAGTCTCGAAAATGCATTTTGCATTGGATCTCTAAAAGTGTTGAATCACTTTTCAAATTGTTGTTGCCAAATGTTTATCACCCTGTATTATATTTAAAGAAATTAAATAATGAAGAATCTGCATGTATGTTTCTCGCATAGTGAAAAAACAGCAGTACCTAAAACCATCAAATTTTGAATAATGTAGTCCTCCACCCAAATATGGACACCATTAAGCCCGAATTTTGAATTTCAAATTTTTTTATCTCTCATATTTTGTAAAACTTAATGAATTTTTGATTAAAAAACAATGATTTTAAAGCGAGCAGTAGCAACATTGTACAGAATAAAACAATTTTATTTCCAGGGCTCTCTCTCGCCAATTCTAAAGATATGCTGTTTTTAAATATTTTTAACCCAGAAGCTTTCAAAATGTGTATGTGTAAATTAAAAAAAGCTCCTTTAGGCATAATATAAAATCTAAAAGCTTTCAGATTTTTCTTTTCTTTTCTTTTTTTAAATTTTTATATTTGTATGTATATTTATTTTGTCTTGCCCCCATGAGAGGAGAATGTCAAATAAACATAAGTAAAAAATGCAATATATATTATTTCTGTAAATGTAAAATTGTATTTAATGTGTGGCATATTTCTTGCTATTCATTTTTTATAAAAATATTTTTTTCAACAGTATTTCCTTTTAACTGTTTGTTAAAGAAGATTTTGCATTGCATTGTTTGTTTGTTGTATAATAAATTGAGAATGTTTTGTATATCAAAAAAGAGTTAAAATTCTATAGTAGGCAAGATGATTAAAATCTAAAAATAAATAATCTAAAAAAATCTAAAAATAACTTATATATTTGGAAGTGTCACCTTTGGAACTTGATTCATTAATATATGTGTTTACTTTGAATATTTTAGTTTCATGCATTTGTTGGTGAAATGTTTACTGATTTGGCAGAAATCTGACAGTGGTAAATCCTGCAGCTCTTATACTTTCACTGGCAGCCCATTATGTTAGCTTGTCTCTCCCACAATTTTCATAAAAACTTATTTAATGGTTTAATGTGAAAAATTCATTTTTACAGATGTTGCCTTTGGAAGAATAGAAATGTAGAATGTCTGCCAATGTATTGTCAAATCTATATCTTAAGCATGCATCCACGTTAGATGCTTCAGTTTACTGCCTGAATTAATGCAAATTTATTTATTAAAAGCAAGTTAAGTTCTCCCATTTGTGAATCTGCACTCTTCCATTATGTTTAATAAGATTTGGATAGCCCTCGAGGCTTTGCCATAATCACACACACACACATATTAATAAGATTTGATAAGTAGTTACTATTTTAGAAATTTATGGATCTATTTAGCATCAAGAATGTGTTTCCAACAAAAATATAAAATTTTATGTGTTTAACTTTCCATTTTGTTGTGGTGGGTGTGGGCTTTTTTATATAATAGTATTTCAAAATATTAGTCAATTTTGTCTACAAAATTCACATTATATTCTTTGCTGAAAAAACTGATTTTTATTCATTTGGAATTGAATGTACACTCACTTCCAAAAGTTAAGCACGAAGATGTAAATGGAGGGGGGGAATACTGCTTTGATTGATACAAAATTTGGCAGGAAAGTAGCATATATATTTATGCATAAAACAAAATCAATAATTATATACAGAAATGAAAACAATATTAAATTTTTGTAAGTTATCAGATAATGATATGTTGGAGACTTAAACATGTATAAAGTGAAAATAAACAGCACAAAATGAAAAAAAAAAAAAAAAAAAAAAAAAAAAAAAAAAAAAAAAGGACATTACTAGGGTATGTGATCCCCCCTCATCTGTATACAAAGTTTATACCTTGTGACCATGCTTTCAATTAGGTAGTCAATCACCGCAGAATTAAGCAATCACCATTCTTCTTGCAGAGCAATTTCCAGCTCAATAAGAGTGAAACGTGAAGATACAGCACGGCCGAGAACATCCCAAAGATTTTGAATGGGACTAAGGTCGGGCAAATATGCTGGCCACGCCATACATGCAATCCCTTCACTCTCCAGGTAATCATCGACGATGTCAGCTGTATGGGAGCGTGCATTATCATCCATTAAAACAAAAGTAGGGCCAACTGGTGCAGCGTACAAGCTCACAATGGGTTCTAGGACTTCATCTTGATACCAGACAGCCGTCAAAGAACCCCGTTTAAAGATGTGCAGGTCGGTGTGATATTCTAATGAAATCCCTGCCCACACCATAATGCTTCCGCCTTGGAATGCGTGATGTTCGGTAATGTTTTGGGACTGATTGCATGTTCGTTGTTCATGCCGTATCCTTATATGCTTGTCATCTGGCTCCAGAGCAAATCTTGACTCATCAGTAAACATGACATTGCTCCAATCAGACACATTCCAATTGACATGTTCCCGGCACCACCGTAATCATACCCGTCTTGATTCGACAGATAGAGGAACACAAACTCGAGGTACCCGGGCGTACAGTCCACTCATATGTAATCTTCGGCGTACAGTAGCTGCAGATATCGCCTTACCATGGACGCTGTAACCATAGATATCACACGTGTGGAGGTCGCTCTGTGATTCTGCTTGGCTGCAATAGAATATATCGATCTTTCGCGGGGGTTGTAACCCTTGGGCGACCGGCTACGGGCCTTCGGACAACTGTCTGTGGTTTGGAATTGTTTCAATAAACGTGAAATTACAGAACGATAAACGCCGAAGAAAAGAGCAACATCTGTGATCGACTGTCCTGCTTCAATGTGCCCCACAGCACGCCAGTGCTCAGAATCTTCCATTCTTCTGGAAGTCATAGAAACACATATGTCTTGAAAACAAATTGTACGAAAGTTTTAAACACCTTCTATCAGTGTTTAAATCAACTTCTGTAACCCTTCATAAAGCTGGCTTCATATAAGACTGCCTTTTTTGCATATTTCTTGACATGAAAGCACGATTGGCTGTTATCTAAAATATTTGCATACTTCCATCTACCTCTGCAGCGAATTGCATCCTCTTCAATTCTGATTGGCTTCTGGAAATTAGCATTTTCTTCTCTGTGCTTAACTTTTGGAAGTGAGTGTATATGGATTGTATTTTGAATTCATATAGAATTGTATGTTCATCGCATGCCATTTCCTCAATATTCCTGAAATGCCCAATTGCAATGTATGCAAATATTATTAATGACATTGGCAAAAACATCTTAGAAACATCAGCAAAAACATTCATATTAGAGCTAATGTAGAAGGTTCCAAATCACGATGTTATAATATGTAGGATATCTCAAAACTTCACATACAGATTTGATGGAAATGTAAGAGTATATCGATACGAGCCATATTCATATTAGAGTGTGTGATTGGATATGAGACCTTAAGGTGTAAAGAAGTGCAAAAGTGACTTAAGACAGTCAACAGTTTATAAATTTTATTACATCTAATATAATAACTATATGTAAGTGTTGGATGCGCTGCTTTGTTGAGTTATAGGGGTTAGTAATGCTAATTGTTTTATCATTTGGCCCAAATTCAAATCGTGGAGAAGGATTATGTTTGTAAGTCTGTGGTGTTTTTGCTGCATGGGGGCAATTAAAATACATGACGAGCCAAAAGTCTCTCGAAAAGCTTGGTAGTGAGAGATCCCTTAATCCATCCTCCAAGGGATTTTGCTTCAAAATTGGAATGGAGCTGGGAAAAGTTTGCCTGTCACCTGAAAAATGTCCAAGGCCCATGCCAGTGAGACATACAATCATGCCCTAATCACAATAAAAACATTTATGGATTTGTTATGGTTTGTAATGATGTTACCATTAGACAGGTAAGATAGTCACAGCAACACAACAAATATCGGATACAATAAATGAATCTTAACAGATGGCTAATCATAGCACCATTAATAATGATGCATGCCATATTGTCACTGATTGCCAGACATGATCAAACAAATCCAAGTTTCAGGGATAGTAATATTGATGCTGGCAATTCTGGGCACGTGATTGATGTCAGAATGCTGTGTTATTATTTATTGTATCCAACATTTTACATTAAGCTATTAGATATAACAAAAATTTCCCACTTTTTACAGTCTTATGTGTTGTTTCTGAATCTTATCCAGTGTTCCCTGTAAATTTTTACTACTGATGTGTGACTTTATTTTGACCCGTGTAGCTTTCTTACTAGAAGAATTATTTGAGTGGCTTTTATTTTTAATTCTTATTTTTGTTTTAATTCTATTTTAATAACAATAATTTTCAAAAACATGTATTAAAAAACTTATTAATTTAAAAATGAATACATTAATATACATTTAAACATAATAGAATTATTTAAAAAGATAGCTTAATTCTAATTATAATAATAAAAATATTGTTTAGATTTATTAAAACAATAAATAAATGCTGTATAAGTATATATTAAATCTTTTCTCTTCTATCTTTGAAATTTAACCATTCAACATGTATGCTATCCAGATTTATACTGTTTCTACTATGTAAATATAATTTTATTTGCATTAGCATGTCTAAGTGATCTTCTTATAAATTACTTTTTATAAAAAAAAAAAGTTTATTTAATTCATTAAACTGAAACTTCGTTCAGTCTACACTAGGTGCAAAAAATGTTCTGTTGATAACAGTAATTTTGAAAGTTAAAAAAAATAAAAACATTACCATATCTGAAGAATTTCTAATCAGTTTACACTTAATTTTTTTCACACATGGCAAATTTAAAGTCATTATATTGTTACACAGCTGTTTTATATGTTAAGAAGTTACTATATTTTATATAATTTTTCGATTAATTCTGTGCCGTAATGCACTTAGTGCTTTGTCAAACGAAAAGCTGTTCATTCCTGTATGTCGTTTTCCAAAAATCTTTCTCCTAAATGAGAGCAAAGTATATTTATAAAAATTAACATAGAATTAGTGTCAATTTCAATTTTTACCCTCTGGCTTTACAAAAAAGAAATTTCACTGCATTACTTCAAGTTATGCTGCTATGGTTAATATAGTGTTAAGTTTATTTATTTTATCACAGAAAGTGAAATGCATCAAGTGGTGTTAGATTGCACTGCTGAAACATTTTGCACAATGCAACAAGTTCTTCAAAAACGTTATTGATTATATGTAAATTTATACAAAATTCAGTATTTTCAAATGTTTGTAAACAATATTTTGAAATAGGATTATTTGGTTCATCTTCTTTAAAATATTTAGTTTAACGCTTCATAATTTTTAATTATTGTTTTCAATGCAAAATGTCTAAAAATCCACCTAACTTCATTTTATGGTTAAAAGGTAATAGCTTCATTTTGTACAGAAGTAGTGATATTTTGAAATTTATCTCACTTTCTGGCAGGAAATGTGGTGTATATTATTCTCATCAAAGTTACATTATCTCTCATTAATTTAACTTTTTTTTGAAGCATTCGCATAAACTCAAATCTTCACGATATGCAACACAGATTGTTGAAACAAAAATGTGGTTATATTTTCTTTTAGTTTTGCTGCCACTCCATTTATCGCTTGCATAAAAACTGCCTCATCAAAAGTAAATGTAATTATTTTTGTCAGTATTATTTTCTTTAAAAATTTCTTTTATTTCAGAAACAATTGGAAAAGCATCACAAGATTAAAATTTAGTTATTCCACCAAAAATAGTTTAATACTGCGTATTCTATTGACATCGGAATTTTAAGTAGAATGGTGATAGAAATATCAGTAATTTTGTCGATAGTTAAAATGTGAAAATCAGATCCCTTGAGTTCTTTTATCACGTTGGTTTTTACAAAGAATCGGTAATTTTTAAAAGCTTGAAAGTATAATTTTTACTTCGCCAGTTTTCTGGAATTTTAACGTATTTTGCCTTATGATCATTTAAATCCTAGAGAGAATGCAATGAAATGTTCATTTTAATTGCTAGGAATATATTATCAGTTAATACTTCTTCACAAATGGATTTTTCTTTTGACTTTCATTTGCTTCTTAATTTTATTACACTGCTTACATGAGATTTACTACATATTATTATTATTATTATTATTATTATTATTATTATTTTAAGAGAAAACAGTTTCTAATTATGTGCTTGTTTTTCCCCCTAACAGAATTATTATTTCCATGTCCATCACAACAGTAGATATATATAACTGCATTTTTTTCATCATATAAAAATATTTCTCATAAAGAAACTCATAATTTGCTTTTATTATTTGGTGCCTCTGTATTAACTATGTCATTAATCGATTCAGTTTTAAAAGAACCACTGTTTTTCTTTTTTTTTAATACAGTTTTCCATGGTTTATGTATAATATACAAATAATGTATAAACACATATATTGTTAGCTATGGCTTGCAGACATCATACCACTTTCTAGTTGCTCTTTAGCAATTGCAGCTTAAAAGGGACAGTGCAAGCACACCATTTTCTATAGTTGTTGGGTGCAACATAATAATAAACACTTTTCAGATATCGATGAATATATAACTAACATAATATTTAATATGACTTATTGTATGAAGTAACGTAAAAATTTAATTATTAATATTACTGTTATTTTGATTAGTAGAATGTTTGTGTGTGTGCTTGTTAATTTTTTGTGAATTAAATTTTTTAATGTGCACACACACAGAGGAAACTCTGATCTTTATTCTAAGCATTTTCTGGTCATGCATTCTTGTGTGAGTATGATTCCATTTAGTGTTCTCTACATCATTCACAGTCTGTGTATGGAGTTTTGAGATACACACATATATAGAGAAAAATAGTGTTCTCGCCCCTTGAATAAATATATTTACAACTGTAATAAAATACTTGTAAATATATTTATTTAAGTAAATTCTAAAGGAGTGATTTTTATAATATAACAAAATACTCTTAAATGTACAAATAAACACCCCCCCCCAAAAAAAAAGGAGACATCTAAAAGATACTTGTGTTATTTATCTCCCCATATTGATAATTTTGTATTGCTAATTATTTTAACATCTTAAGTAGTATCTCTTTCTAGATGCATACGATATTTGTTAAAAATCTAGTTGAGTAAAAAGAATATCACAAAATTATAAATAAATTAAAGTGCATTTTTTGGCTTTCCAAAAAGTACTAAATATTTTGAATTTAATGAAACAAAAATGAAATTTATTAATTTCTACTTATAAAAATATTAATTTATTTATAGAAAAAAATCAGGTTTATTTTTTTTAATTTCAGGTTGCAGAACTCCAGCGTTATGACAAAATTTTCAAAGAACAACTTACACAACAGATGCTGCTTGTGGAAAAACTGATTGCTAATAAAATTAGTAAACAGCAGTATCTGGATGCTGAAGCTGTAATAGCAAAAAAGAAAGAAGACATAGCAGAGAAAATAATGAGTGTTACTTTGTAGAGAATCATCTTGCCTTTAAAAACAAAGCATTTTATTTACTTTCTTACTTAATTCATTCCATGCAATCAGTACTAATAAAAATTGATTCTTTTCATTCTGTTCCAAGAAATAAAATATTTAATAAAATGTTATAAATTATTTTTTATTTTCATTCTTAAATGAATATTTAAAACATATACTTCTAGATGCATATTACAGAGTTATCTAAATCTCCACTATAATAAGCATACTAAAGAGGTCATCATTGGAGTAGGGGAACACGTCCAAATTGCATTCCTAGGATACACTGCCTAGAAGTTTGATTATATCATTGGGTGAGAAAGACATTAGCTTAATTTGTTGAATAGCACTAGAGCACCAATGGTAAAATAAATGAATCTTCGTCAGATTATATTAATATTTTATTAAGACAACATCTAACCAAGAAAGCTTGTTAAAGCATATTGACTATATTTGCCAACTGCATTTATGTTAGCTTGCTGTATTGCAGCATTGTGCAGTTGATACTTTTATTTTAGCATATGCTTCAGATAGGTATATCCACTTTATGAGTTACATTCCAACTGTATTTTCTTGAGATACATACATCTATATAGTATATTTATCATTCATTTCCTGCATTGTTAGTCCAAAGAGGCAATTTGCCTAGAAGGACTATTAATTTCGTTTTGGCATTTTGCATTGATTCACTATAAATGTCATTTCTCTTTTCAAATTGTTGCCACCAAATATTAGAGCCCTGTATTATATTTAAATAATGAAGAATCTGCATAAATGTATGCATGTTTCTCTCATTGTGATAAAACAACGGTACCTAGAGCTATCCAATTTTGAATGACGTAATCCTACTACGAATATGGGCATCTAAAAGCCCAAATTTTAAATTTCGAATTTGTTTTATTATCAATTTCATATATTGTAAAACTTTAACAAATTTTTGATTAACAAAATCAACAATATCAAAGCGAGCAATGGCAACTCTGTACGTAAAAAAAAAAAAAAAAAAAAAAAAAAAAAGAAGAAGAAGAAGAAAGAAGAAAAATATCTCCAGTGTGCAAGACTGTGTATTGGAAATTCTAAAGATATGCTCAGTGTAAAATTATTTTGCGATATTGCTGTTGAATTGAAGTGCAAAGAACATGATATTTAATAAATAAAGGTAACACACAAAACATTAAAAGAACACCTCTTTAGGTGTAATATAAAATCTGAAAGCTTTCAGAATTTTTAATTCACTTTCATCATTCTCCTCAGTATTAGAGAAGTGATAGTGTTTTACCTTCAAATTTGTAACAAGAACAGGAGAAGGCATATCTGCAAACATGTCTTCCTTGCAGACATGTTCTCTGATAGCATTTGGTCTACACAAGCAGATTTTGTATCTAACCTACTAAACCAATCAGAGCAGTCAAAGTAGATGATATGATTTGTATCCAATAGGAAATCTCCATCAATTTCACAATAAACATAATATTTGCAAAGTTTGCAATGCTTTTGTTTTTGAGGGCTTAATTTGTTAAATAAGTTGTAATAATAGTAATAACAAACAGAAGCCTTAGTAGCAGACAGAAAGTAAGTGATAAAAAATGCAATATGAAAAATAAAAAGTATAAATTAAAAAAAATATTAATGAAGTAGAAAGGGAAAGCAATTAATTGTGAAATGTTTATATATATATTATCATTAGATAAAAAATAAATGTATTGTACACTACTAATAACAGCATCATTTTAAGTGCATGAAAGGGGAAAAAAAATTATCACTTAAGGAACGCATAAAAATTAATTGTATTTATAAAATTATGTAAATAAGTGTTATAAAATTGTTATATTAACAGAACTATGTTAATTGCAGAAACAATAAAATATTCAATTGAAGAAATAAGAAAATAGCTCAGCTGGATTGGAGCTCAGTCTGCTGGCCTCACAGAAAATTTAAACACTTTAGTAAATCTGCCAAGTGATCAAGCTAATTAGACTCCACAAGTTGCAAAATCATTAACAATAGAAAGTTGGAAATACAGTTAAATGCAAACAGATGATAAATGAAGCTTTTCTTCTTCGTCAGACTTATCAGAACATAAGAATATGGTAATTCGCTTAAACAAGATAAAATATTCTAACAGTTTTAGTCAATGCTAACAAATGGGGTAAAAAAATACATCACTATATAGCTTACAATAGCAGATCAGTTGTATCAAGTTGAAAAAATATTCTGTTAATAAAGAAATCAATCAGAGAGAAATATTGCATCGTAAATTAAGTTTATTAAAATAAAAACAAAAACTTCACATAATTCGTGTAACATGTTATTCAATAAGGTAAATGCTAAAAATAGCCACCATTTCTATTCGTGCACATGATTTCATAGACAATATCACTGGCTGTAACAAGTATGTCTCCAGGAAAAATGTATCCCATCCTGCACAATCATCATGACTACCAATGCAGGTGCTGGATGTTTCCCTCTGTAGATGGATTGACAGAGTCATCCAGAAATACTTATTCAAATCTCCTCTTGTAAATGAGCCTGTGGAATGTATTATGTCTGTGACAGATAGCCTTAAAACACAATAAATGAGACTAACTGTATTTATACTCAAAGTAAGAAGTTTAATTTTTTTTGCAAAGTATTGCCATTTCATATTCTTTTTAATGGTGGATTATATTCCAACTCCCTTCACTTCCAAATTTTCAAACCGGTTGCAAATAAGTACAGTACAGTTATTATTATTGCTTTAAAATGAAAACTTTTTTTTTAAAATTGTATTTTGTTGAAAAATTTGATTTAAAATAAGTATGATTATAGATAATCATCCCACATTTAGCTTGCCAAACATAAAATACATTATGAACTAGTATGGCAGAAGAGTATAAGAATTTGACACCTCGTTTGACATAATTTAGCTAACTGCTATGTTTTAGCATTTTTATTTATGCTTCAAATTTCAGTCACTTAAAAGTTGATATTTTCATTATTATTTTTTTCTTTTTTTTTTAAGAAAAAGGCTTATGCATTAATAGCTGTGGATGCCAAAATTACTTTATCTCTTATGTGTGGATTATTTGAGGGAATATTTAAAAGATTGTGTTTATGCAGATTAGAAGTCTGAAAACATGATTAAATCATGCTGTAATGAGTTAAATGTAACAGAAAAGTGAAAGTTTAAAAATAGGAGACTCATTTGTTCTTTACTTTTAGATATTCTAATCATCTTACTGAAACTATGATTATCTGATAAGAAAGATTGTCATAAATATCCTTTGTTCCCTATCACATTCTGAGAATAGATTACTATGATTTATAGAGACGAAAGGAAGCTACAGGTCATACCATTTTTAAATTATAACATTGAAAAATTTTTTAATTTAAAATGTTATTTTATCTAAATTTTATGGATGTACACAGTTGTCTGAAAGTCTTCAATTGATAAATTGTGGAAAAAATGTAAACAATAAGAAAACAAAGCTCAAAGTAATTGTTGCAGTAATTAACCTTTTCAAAAATAAGTATTTTAAAGTGGGAAAAAACAATTTAATTTTTTTTTTTGTTTGATTACATTTTATATCAGTAGGAACTCACTGAGACAGAAAATATTAGAAAACCCACTGTCAACATATGTGATCATTAAACATTCATGGTAAATTAAAAACGAAAACACTTGATGCATTCAGGGCATATTATCTCATTGCATTTTTCACAGACATATTGGCTATGAAAAGCACTTTTCAGTGTGCTACTGTAATATAAATTTTGAATATTTTTGTTAAAAGGCAAATACATGTGATTCATTTCCTACATTGGAACACTAGCTTATGACCTGCTTAAAAAATATTTAGACATGCAATTTTTTATAAACACCATAATATAGTCAGTGATAGGGTTCAGCTAGTGTACTGTGGTTCCAAAAATAGTTTCAGATTGGAAAGCCACTTGTTAAAATTCAATTTCTATAGTTATGTAGATAATTTATGACTACTTATTAGTTAACTTTATCACTTATTTAGTCAGTAAACCAATTTTCATTAGTAAAAATATAATAGTAAAGAAATTTTTAAGCAATGGATTAATGAGAATATTTTTATATATATAATTATTTCCAATATGTAAGATTAATTTATATTGACAATACTGTTAAAATGAGTATATGCAAAAAACTCTTCAGTAAATACTGTGGAGGTGTTAATATTTGCAACAAATAAATAGTATTTCACAATAAAATGTTAAAACACTACTCATTTAAATAATACTAGTTTTGAGAATTAATATATTTTATTAAGATCTGTTTTGATCAATATTGTTACAGTCTGAATTTCTACCTTATTTAACCCCCCTTTTTTTGACTGCTTCTGTTGAACTGTTTGAGAAATGTGCCGTGATCATAGAGCAACTGAGTGAAATGATACTACCTCCCACTTTAAACTAGCAATTAATAAACTAATGCAGATTTTTATATCACATGAAATTTTTATCACTAATGTACGAGATAAATTTGATTATATCTAGGGATATTTTTAAATATGAGAAACAGTATGCCCCCTCCTCTCATTTTTGGTTAATAGTTTCAATAAAAACCAAGATCATTGTGTTAAGAAAAATGCAAAAGCTCTTGCTTTTCAGAAGAAAAAAATTATTCTCACTTATGTCATCTGTTTTAAGTTCCAAACTGGAGACTAGAAACAACGTACAAAAGAACTTGAACTAGTTTTCAATTATAATGAACATGCTGGAAAATTTTGTTTGATGCTTATCCTACTATAAAATGAAATTTGTATGTTTGTCAAGATTTGTCATGCACTATTAATTTTTTTCCCCAAAAAAAGTGTAGCAGTCAAATGTTAGGAATTTAAAAGAAATGTAAGTAAATGATTTTTATTAACTTTAATAATTTTATTACTTAATGCAGCTTATATGCAATGCTAAAACTGTAAATGCAACACCAAAAAGGAAAGGCTGTAAGGTTTTGCAAATCTTGGATACTACAGGCAATTAAGGTATGAAAATTATCACATGTTTAAGCATCTAAACCTGTGAAAAAGCTTAATGGTATGAAAGCTTGATCAAATGCAATTTTTTTCTGTCACATGAAACTTTGGATATCTGATCAAGTTTTGCTATTTTCTATTGCATTGCTTAAGT